AGTACTGGCTAAAACGTCTCAACTGAGGCCGCCACGGTTGCCGAGCGCAATATGACTGGAATCAGGCGACCAGCACAAGTTCAGGAAGTCCTGTCTGAAGCTTCTCTGAGCTTCAACTTTGAAACTCATGCAGCCGCTGACAGCAGCAGAACTGTTAAGTAACCCTATATGGGTGGGAAGATATGCTATATTATTAAAGGTGGCAGATCCACGAAAACACAGTAATTATGATCCGCAATGCGAGAACTCCAGCTTTTGGTTCAAGACTCATTGTCCCGCATTTGAGGCTTCGTCTTCTTGAGGTCGACGTCGAACACAGAACTACCTTGCCGCACCACTCCGCCACCATCACTAAGGTGATTCTCACAATGACCATTATGTTTAGAATGTGTATGGCTAGAATCAACAGAGAGAGGAGACGGCTGGGGAATTAAACAGGGGGTCTTGACTTTGAGAAACGTCCGCTTACATCTTCAAATATTCGAACTGACATGCCGCGGAATTGGTAGCTAAGCAGTCAGCTGGAAGACCTGGTGTCAAAGATCTTGAACCTCAAAGCCAATGTTCACACAAAAAGCTTTTGCGGGCTTGCGTCACCCTCCAAGGCAGCAACTTACCATTCCAGGCGATTGCAGCAGCGATGCGGGGGTCATTGGGATCAGTACGGACACTCATCCACCTGAGCAATGATTTTTTGGTTGAGGAAGGTTTGAAGAGAACCATCGCCTGAATCCTTGCAGATACTACTCCTCTCAAGTCGTTAGGCAAAACCATGCATCAGCTCCAGGATCCCTACAACAGTCACAGACCGCACCACAAACCTTTGAGCCCTTAAGACTACTGCCTCCGTTTCTGCTGTTGTCATTGTACTTGTTTTGGGGAGGACGAGAACTTAGGAGTAGAGCTACCAAATTCCAAAGTGTTTTTGTCGGCACGCTCGCATTGTAACAGTCCTTCAAACTTGAACGCCGTCAGTTCAGACTGCAAGAGGTAGTGAGGCATTCTTCTCGTCAGCAGTATGAGGGTTCCTACGATTGGGGGTACAATGCTCGGGGTACCCGTAATAAGCATTGTAGTATATTAGGGTCTATATGGGCCTTCCCCTATTATGCATATTACCATTTTCTGATACTATCACTTTTAGAGCGCTCAGACATTTTTTCCAACCCTCTCTAGCTCAGACATATTCAGACCATCCTTCTTACGTTCGTGACACTTTTGCATGCCAAGTCAAAGTTTCGGCTGGCACTAGGGATACCGTGTCCGAGACTGCCACTATCCAGGTGTCAAAATAAGTCCTGGTACCCTCCCGTAGACAAGCATCATGAAACCTCAACAAAGGGCATGCACTGGATGCTGTCCTTTAGAAATGGCTGCTTGTGGTCCCATGTTAGTTCGGGGAAGGGTGATGATGATGTTGATCATGGCGATGAAGCAACCGAACTCGCAACAGCACTAGCAGTGCCTGTTCTAGTCATCACACTGGACATCGCAACCTGAATCGCAAAAACCTTCATGCACTCCCAAACCTTAATCCTCAGCTGCTCAACACGCAACCCTGATACCCTCAAAACCAAACCCTGCAACGTCTGCATCCCTCAACCCGAAACCTCTTAACACCCCGTATCCTCAACTCCAAATGCCAGCAGCTTCGAAATCCCAATCTTAAACTGCCCCAAGTTGACCCTAAATCCTAAACCCTAAATCCCAAACTGCCCGAAGACCTCAAACAACAAAAGGCAGGTGCCGGACTCCCCCGGCCAAGTTCTCTCCTCCTCGCCTGAGGCGACAATCTCACGGCGGCATGCTTCAATGGACCCTAGCAAGCTTGCGTTTCGGGGTTCAGGCGTACGTTTGCAATTGCTCTCGTGAGTTTTCACTTTTGTCCTTTACTTAGTCCAGTGTTCATTCTATCTTCCATGTTCTTTTCCATTTGATCTAGGGAAATATCCCTATATCAGCGGTCCTGAATCTTCATAACTTCCACTATGTGATCTCACTATCAGCTGCCATCATCATCCGTTGAAGGATCGGCCAATGTGAAAAGTCCAGTGCCTTCTGCTCTTGGTCTTAGTAGCATTGTGGTACTCCCAGCCATAAACAACCATTTTGAATCTAGAGCGGCATCCCAGCCTGTACAGGGGTTTAGGAACCTGCTTATACAGAGCAAGTCATGGAAGCTCAGGTCTAATTGCCATCCCCTGTCCGGGCCTTTCTCGACATCCAACAGTCGGACGCCAGGGCCTTTGCCAGCAGACATTTCTTTGAGCTGCAGGCACCAACTCGATCCTGGCCCACCTCTTGCAGCTATAAAACGAATAGCAGGCACCTCATTTATCAGGCCACCTGCATACCTCTTGGCAATTTCTGCAAATGTCCGACCCGTATTGAACGGTTTGGGAACAGCAAAGCCACAGCTATACGGACCCTCAACCACACCCTCACTGTGTAGAACGGAACTCCAGATATCTCAAAACCCTAGCGCTACAAAGCCGCTGTTTGACTGTATGCTGGTACCCGTGCTCTTTGTTTGGTTCGCTTGTTTCCTCGCTCTGTGTAGTAAGTTGCGGCCCATTACTGACGACTGACCTCATTTAAAGCCCTGAAGTCACTTGCACTGGGCCGGCTGCCCTCCTTGGGGGTAACAAGGAGCTTGTCGCCTGCGTTGTTACCACGCTAGCCAGTTTCTATAGTGGAGCCATGATGCTGCATAATTGTAGGTTATCACACAAGAGTCCTGCCGCCCATCCCCTCGCAACTCCTACAATCTTTCGGATAGCTTACTTCGACGGCAACAATGAGATTCTACGGTCAAGAGAGCCGGTTTTCCTGATGTTGTTCTTACTATTAAGTATGACTATGCCTATGGTGACTGTTGATACAGCTACTCCTACTCTGAACACATTAGTATGCTTCGTGCTCGGCCTGCCCAGTCCATGGAATAGAGGCTGGTGCGCTTGAAGCCCTTGACTTGTTCCTTTTTGACCTCAAGCACCGTGGGATTTTGGGCTGTAGAGCAGAAGCACTCAGGGACTTAAGGCCCCAGCTTGGCCTCTGGCCTTAGTTGAAGAAAGAAAGGAAGAAATTGTCAGCTGGAGATGCATCCAGCATGCAAGCACAAGGCGCCATTTCAATCAATGCAACCTCAAGGTTGCTCGCAGCCATGAAACAAGGCCACGCAGGGCCCTGCACTCAGACCGTTGGCTCCAAAGTGCGGATTACCTCCCAGGAAGGTGAGGGTGAGTAAGTTGCTTGAGAGCTGGGCCTTTCTCTCAACATGAAGCCGACTGGAGATGAAACGCAACATCCATACCGGGGCTCTCACAAGTTTGCAATCGGTACAAGTTATTGTCGGTTTGTGGTGATCCCTGCGTGTGGGCGAACATGTCGTGCTGCAGCCTCCCCAGAAGAGCATGACGTCTCCGGGACCGCAAACAGCGATGCTCACGTCGCGGCTTGCCAGCCACTCAGCATGCTCCTGGTCAAGCTGCTTGCATTTGTCCAATGACCTCCGAGGGCCATGTAGCACCCGGAGACAAACATGGGTGGTTGTCAAAATGATGGTTCCTTTTTGGGTACCCTAAATATTAGGTGCCGTATTATAATAGGGACCCAAAAAGGGACAATAATTTTGACAACCACCCACATGCCACCAAGTTCTTCTTGCAGTAGCAGCTGCAGTCCTGCTCCAGTGGCTGATCCACGTGTAGAGCCACCTGGAATAGCAAACCAAAGGGTCAAGGATGAACGGCGCGGATGGTGTGAGCAGAGCCCAAGCTTGGCTTAGTAGGGAATGCGGGCATATATAGGGGTCAGATAGAGATAATGGAAAAGAAAATGGAAACTGCTACATTGACATGATCATAGGGTATGAATTGGGGTTATAGTAGGGAATAGGGGAATATATTATATATAGGGGTTATACAGGGAAGACATTCCCTTATTCCCAACTAAGAATCATCAAGCTCGAGCCAGCAAGTTGACATCGAACTGCCTCGGAATCAGCCGTCGGTCCTCGAAATCCTTGCGCTCATGACATTACAGAACATGGAGCTTCAAACCAAGGAATCGGGCTGAATGACTGGAATAGGATTTTAGGGTATGTTATACGGAAATTTGAAGATGCTTTATGAGAAAATAATGTGCTAGTCATTCAGGCCTGTATGTTGTTTGCACGTTATACAGGAGGGATAACATGCAAGTTGTTCTGGTTTCTCTGTTATTTGCATGCGTCTAGTGCTGATCAAGTTGCTGGTAACCCATGGCTTCACATCCTCGCCGCACAGCGAATCGACGCCAAAAATCTGCCACGCCATAACTCAAATCTGCAACAACTCAAAGAGAGCATCTAGCAGGTAACAATCCATCTTCACCGCAGAGTACGCAGGGCCAAGGATCTCAAACTATGGGTTGAGTCTGGATACTGTATTGCTCTTGCCTAGATTGCAAGACGCCACAGCCCACCTTCCCAAAAGTGCCCTTGCTGATGTGATCATGCCACTTGGGATGGGACTCTTGTCCCAAAGTGCCAGAATGACCTGCCTTGATACCGTGCACGACGTGGCACATTTGGACCATGGGCACGAGGTCCTTCAGGAGCTATCCAACATGAATTCAAAGAAACACTTGTTGCCATGCTGCAGGCATTCTGCTGTGCTGGTTCTTGGCGTGGGAATTTCTCAAAATACCACTTGAAGCATCCCCAAAAAAGACCCCTGCAATTGGCCTGTAATTCCCATGTATCCCTTGGGGCACCGAGGACATTCTAGGGCCCCCCTTTTTGAGAACACATGCGCTGCGCAACTGCACCATGCCTGACCCCACAAAACCCTTACGGCGGTCCATGTGAACATGGGACGCAGAGCCTCCATCTCCAGCAAAGACCTGCGCACAGAAGCTGGACATGCCAAAGCCCTATGAAAAAGCTTGGGGCCCCTTCAGGACCCTTGGGATATTTGGGGGCTTGTGAAGAAGGTTCCTAACAAGAAACCTAAGAAAAACTACAGGACGGACCGCGCCATGGGCCCTCTTCGACCTATGTTGCACTGAAGCCAATCTAGAGTGTCCTGCGGCAAGTCATCATTCATGAGGAAACCGTCCATCATCCTCAGATCTACATCCAGTAGGAGAGCGTAGGAGGCACCCAGTTGGGGAGGTTTCCCAAAATCAAGGGTGCCTCTTTGGGGTCCCCATAATGACATACTAAATTGGGGTTGATATTGGGATCCACCTAATTTTGGGAGACTACCATGGCCTCTGGATTTTGTAGTGCTCAGGCTGAACACACATTGGCACTTCTTAGAAAGGAGCGGCTTCAAATGCCTAACAGAGGATCCCCTAAAAAATCCCTTATGTCATCCCCATAAACCCCTGGGGCCCTAAGGTGTGCCCTCCGTGATCAGGGTTTAGGGGTTTAGTAGTTTCGGGCTTAGGGTTTGGGGTGCCGTGATATGTTTTGCAGCAGCAGCTCTCCGAAACTTTGGGCAGCAGCGCCGCCGCCGCTTTCTCAGAAGCATCGTCCGCGAGTCTGGTGAGCAGATCTGTAGACGCCTGCAGGATGCCGCGAAGTCAATGGGATGCAGGGATAAAAAAAACAGGGATATTACCTCAATATATGGGATATAGGGATATAAAGGGATATTACCTCAATATATGGGATATAGGGATATAAAGGGGTATTGCCTCAATATATAGGGATGATGGAAACGACAATGGAATCTACTATTAGGAGTTGGGGTCTAGGGTTCTAGGGCTACATAAGCATAACCCCAGTAATGGGAAAACAATGGAAATAACGTGGAACATGAAATGGAAACTGGGCTTGTAACAGTAGTCCACAGGGAGAAGGGTTTCTGTTGGGAGTCCTTGTAATCTCATACGACTGTGGTCTATATTTGGGAACCCATCACTTATGAAGCCCCCAGAAAGTGGGATTACAAGGTTTGGGGCAAGTTTGAGGATTGGGGCCGGGGTTCAGGAGTTTGGGTACAAGAGCAGCAACGCCAAACTTCTGCCTGCGGCCAACCTAATTGCATGCTGTGAGCAATTGCCTTGCTTTTTGTAAGCACATTCCTCGATCCCTTGTAACCTTGAGGTGCATCAACGCTAAAGCATGAATCCTAAACCTCCAACGTGGCGGGCAAGATCCCTTGAAGTGTGAGGGCCTCTCGAATGTAGAGCGGTTCCTCAAGCACCGGCTGCGCTACCTGCTTTCTGAAACCCATGCCGCACCGATGTCCATCATCATCATCACCACCATCAAGATCATCATATGCAGGGGATTGTGCAGGAATGAGCAAAGTAGCTTAGGGCGGCACATGTTGCATGCTAAGTTTGCAATCCCTTCTTTGTATGCAGATCCCCCCCCTCCCAGCCCCTGCCCCTACATACTCAGCAGTTGCATGTGGCTCTGTCAAAACTAAGCATGTACAGCGCCAAACTGCTGACATCTCCCAAATTTTGACAAGCCCATGTGTAGTCAAGACTTGCTTGAGTGAAAGTCTTGGGATCTTGTTGGGTGCGTTGAGGGTGGCACGGAATTTCCGTAAGAGTTCTTCAGTTCGCCCTCAATAGCCTCTGGAGAATTTTGGGTCTCTTTTTGAAGGTCTCTGTGAATCAGCATCATACTTCTTTTAAATAGATATGGGAGCGACCACCAGCAAAGAAATAACTCTCACGTAGTCCCCTCCTCCTGATATTACACCTCCCCAACCCCCTGCAATCAAATACTCCCCATTGTGGTATACTAGAAGAAAAATTGGGCGGTGGGAGTCTTGAAATATCCACCGAGGCTACCTCGAGGCGCACTGGGAGGTCTGCTGCTAGAAGCTCCTCAACTCTCCTGGGCTGAGCGCAGTAGGGACTTTGGCTTGTGTAAAGGGGTTTAGGGTTCAGGATTTAGGGTTTAGGGTAGGTTATGGGAGTCCCTATACGAACGAACGATGTCGCCAGGCATCTTGGAGAAACTTCAATTGTTGGAGTCAAGACGGCGTTTATTACGGCAACTCCTTAAACGGAGCATCCAAGGGGGTATACATATTCCTTTCACTGAGGCTTAAGCTGGTTTAAGCCCTAGACAAAACAAGACGCAAAATTCAACAATGATCCAGTCTCTCCAACGTGGCATTCAATACTGCCTCACCGTTGATAGTGACCTTGGAGAGGACAACGCAGAGCTGGCCATGCAGAAAGAGGCCCCTCCTTGCGACCAGGGCTCAATTATGTCGCCAGCTTTGATGCCAGCTCTGTCTGCCACGCCATTTTTGCCCACAGCTTTGATGACTGCTCCCCTCGACCAACGGCGGGACATGTATTGCATGTTGAAGGGTTGCTCCTCCAGGTCCACCACTCTACCATCCGAAATGCGCTCGACACGTGTGAGATCAACAGCGCCGGTTCCCCCCAAAGGGCAGACCTGTAGCAGCTCGTGGTAGGTCAGTTGTGGAGCTTCCAACTCCATGGAGAAAACATCTGGTAAAGAAGATCCCATCAAGCAAGGGAACCTGAGCTGTTGGGAGCACAGGAGGTCGTGGCAGGAGGCAGCTGGTGCAGCACTGGGAAAGTTAACCACCCCAAAACAGGGGAGCCTACTTGGAGGGTCAGGGGACTTAGTGGATAGGTTATTAACGGGGTTATTCTATGGCTTATTGGGGTTATTAACCAACGAACTAAGTCCCCCTGACCCTAAACCCTAAACCCGAAGTTACATGTTGCAGTTTCCATGTTCTTTTCCATTATTACTCAGTCCCCCTCACCCTCCAAGTATGACCCACAGGGCTGTACCTCTCAGGTGCATCCGCGCAGCAGGTCCTGCACAATCACAGTGCTGGGCAGCTCGAGGAGCTCTGCAGCTCCAGGGAGGACGACCTCACGAGTCATGGGCTTCTAATACAGTGGGAGTCCATTGGGGTTATATAGGGATAAT